CGGGGAGGAGGGGGGGGTTGATGTGGGAGGCGGCCAGCTGGAGACGTCTGGCCCCGCCCACAACCCTCCATCTTCAGCTGGCTGCCTGACATCTGGCTCTGTGTCTGTGTGTAGTACAGTGAGCGGCCTGTACTGCGCTTCTGTGTATGTGGGAGACATAGTGATGTGGTAATGGCTCTGCGTTTAACCCCTTAATGTTATTTCCACGTGATATAGGAGACATCCTACCCCAAATCATACACTGTGTAATAATACGACCAACTATGATTGTATCCATGACGACCAACCATAACCGTATCCATGACGACCAACCATAAGTTGCATCCATGACTTCGTACATCTCCCCCCAAAAAAATCTGAATTATAACTGAAAGTGTTATAAACGCACACCGTGTACAGGACGCCCGCTATTATGGCTCATTCACACGGCGCTGTTCTAGTGCCATGCGTTGTGCCCGGCGTCAACTTGTGTTAGGCGGCTCGCTCATTCTTTATTGGCTGCCAACTCAGAAGAATGGCCAAAAAAATCTACCTGCAGCATTGGGTGATGGGAGAATAGTCCCTTTAAATTGGTGGTCAGTGGGGAAGGCCCCATTACACTGGTGGTCAATAGAGATGGGCCCCATTACACTGGTGGTCAATAGAGATGGGCCCCATTACACTGGTGGTCAATAGAGATGGGCCCCATTACACTGGTGGTCAGTGGAGATGGGCCCCATTACACTGGTGGTCAGTGGAGATGGGCCCCATTACACTGGTGGTCAATAGAGATGAGCCCCATTACACTGGTGGTCAATAGAGATGGGCCCCATTACACTGGTGGTCAATAGAGATGGGCCCCATTACACTGGTGGTCAATAGAGATGAGCCCCATTACACTGGTGGTCAATAGAGATGGGCCCCATTACACTGGTGGTCAATAGAGATGAGCCCCATTAGACTTCTTTATTACTTGAGAATTTGCTCTCCCAGGTTGGCATCTCTTCCTTTTGTAATTTGAATAAAAGAAAGAATCAGCTTTGCCTGACTTTGTTATGTGGCGTATGTAAACGTGCAGAATGTAAAGTGTATGTACCAGGCTATGGTTCTCCGAGTTTTGAAAACTAAAATGACCAATACAGAAAAACCACTTTGTACAAAGCCACAGGTATGCGGTACTATAGTTTCAGTCTCACAATGCTTTCTGCATTCATATGCTTACAGGTGGATCACTCGTGAGCCTTACACATCAGGGATACTATCTTTTTAAAGGCTAATTCCACTTTTAATACCTTATTTTGGGTGTAACATGGAAGAGGGATTTTTTTGGAATTCTTGGGACAGTCATGTGGAAGCTAGGATGGGAGGTATGGCCAAAGGCAATGATGCTCATTATTGAACACTCCCCACCCCCTCCCCCCCATGATGTTTTACTTCTAATGGCATTGGTGGTCATTGATTGTTCCCTCTAATGGCATTGGCAGTCAGTGATGGTTCCCCCTAATGCCATTGGAGTGCAAGGATTTTTTTCTCCAGTGGCATTGGCGGTCTGTGATGGTTTCCCCCTAATGCCATTGGTGGTCAGTAATGGTTTCTTCTAATGGCATTGGCAGCCAATGATGGTTCCCCTTAATGCCATTGGTGGACAGTGATAGTTTCCCCCAGTGGCATTGGTGGTCTTTGATGGTTTTCCCCTAATGGTATTGAAGGTCTGTAATGGTTTCACCCCAATGGCATTGAAGGTCTGTAATGGTTTCAACCTAATGGCATTGATGGTCTGTAATGGTTTCACCCTAATGGCATTGGTGGTCAGTGATGTTTTCTCGCTAATGATATTGGTGGTCAATGTGGTTTTCCCCCTAATGGCATTGGCAGTCAGTGATGGTTCCCCCTAATGCCATTGGAGTGCAGGGATTTCTTTCTCCGGTGGCATTGGTGGTCTGTGATGGTTTCCCCCTAATGCCATAGGTGGTCAGTAATGGTTTCTTCTAATGGCATTTGCAGCCAATGATGGTTCCCCTTAATGCCATTGGTGGTCAGTGATAGTTTCCCCCAGTGGCATTGGTGGTCTTTGATGGTTTTCCCCTAATGGCATTGAAGGTCTGTAATGGTTTCACCCTAATGGCATTGATGGTCTGTAATGGTTTCACTAGGTGCGGCGCACAGCGTGTGGAGCCGTGAACAGGGCCAACTGATCGGAAGCCGATTAATCGATTATTGAAAAAGTTGACAACTTTTTCAATAATCGATTATATCGATTAGTTGTTGCAGCCCTGCACCCTAATGACATTGATGATCTGTAATGGTTTCACCCTAATGACATTGATGATCTGTAATGGTTTCACCCTAATGGCATTGGTGGTCAGTAATGGTTTCTCGCTAATGACATTGGTGGTCAATGGTGGTTTCCCCCTAATGACATTGGTGGTCAGTGGTGGTTCCCCTCTAATGGCACCGGCAGTCACCATTCAGTGAACCAAAGTACAGTTAGGCCTTAAAAAATGAAGCTGATAAATGAGCTCAGTAGTCCCGGGGGAGAAGGTGGGCACAGCTGGTTCTGCCTCTAGATAGGCAGAGCCAGCGGGGTGGATCTCAACAATATTGTCGGGATCCGTCCGGGCTCCGGCAAGGCTGTGTGCTCTCAGCATATAGTGGGCAATAGCTGGCTATATACTGAGTTTTGGGTCACTGGTGGACATTAGTATATGTCCACCTGTGACCCTGAAGAGAACTATGGCCAAAAAAGGATAGGACCTTGTTCTGTTTTAATGGCTGTATTGTATTAGCATGTAGGGGGATACCACCCTCTGAAGGCTCCTATGGAAGCTCCCGGTACAGTAGACATAGTCCATGCTGGTGACTGCAGTCTTTACAAGTCAACTTGCTTCATATAAAAATAAAAAAATAAAGGTTTACAAAAAAGCAGAGGGCCACTGTGCTTGGTGTACTTTTTTTGTAGATTTGTCTGCCGTATACAATACAATTAAAGGAAAAGTTACAAGTTAAAGTGATGATTCAATTTTTAGTTTGGAGGCCAACAGACGGTTCCCAATGGAAGTAGTAATGCATTTAAAGGGTACGTTGCACCTCTTCTGATTTGGTCCCATCGAGGTCCCTACCTTTGACAGGAAAATATGAGAATTAGATCAGAAATTGTTACGCAGCGCTCCAAATAAATAACAGCGGTGTACCGCTCTTCTACAAACTATTGTTATGTCAACTGACCAACCGATGTGATGTCAGCTAAAGCGTATGAATAGCTAAAACGTTTTTCTTTTGTTTGGAATAGAGTAGGGAAGAGTAAAATCACTGTCATGTTATTTTCTTGCTGCCTGTGTCCTACTGGGGAGATTGCCCTCCTGTTATAATGGCCGCAGAGTCCCTGCCGGGTTTTACAGATCTGCTCTGAGAATCCCAGCCAGGACTTCCAGAAGACCTGCCAATACCTCTAATGGTACTCACAGGAGTAGGGTTGACACCTGTCCAGGATTCACCCGCACTGTCCGGGTTTTGAATGCTGTGTTCGGGTTTCATGGCAGCAGAAACCTGGACGCAATATGTCAGGCAGACAGGGGCAACCAAAATTAAGATAGGGGCTACTGGCCCACCACTGAAAATAGTCCCAACTGTGATATTTACATATGAATGGACGGTGCTATTTACATATGCATAAGCCACGACTCATTCCTCCAAAAAAATGTCCATGCGTCGTTAGAGTGTGTGCGGGTTTTGCTTGAAGAAAAGGTGGCAACCCTACACAGGAGCCCTGCCATGACTTCTAATGTCTCTCACAGAATCCAGGCCAGTATGGCTAATGATAGCCACAGAATCTGAACCAGGACACCCAGAGCACCCTGAAGTGATGCTGGGTGTTTCACCTCTGATTCAGGGGAGTAGTTCAGCACCAGCTCTGCAAGGGGTTGGTGCTGTATCTTCAAGGCAGCTTCCTGTGTGTACAAAGAGCTTTAATACTGCTAATAGTGCCATTCCTGTTTGCCGACTCGGATCTTCTGTCCATTCTCCGCTTGCCGCCTGCCCTGATCTTCTGCCTGAACCCAACTTCGCTCCCGTCTCCTGCCTTATCTACTGACTGTTTGTAGCCGACCTAGACCACTTGGCTACTTTCTGCTAGCCATCTGCCTGGACCCCTGCCTGGATCCAACTCGGTTCTTTGTCTACTGGATGCTGACCCGGACTGTCCGACCATTATCTGGTTATTTTCTGTCAAAACCTCTGCCTTATCCTGACCACACTCCACACCACTGTCCCCCTCCTCGTTCATCCCTTGGTAGAGCGATCATGGGGGCCGCGACCTGGTACCAGAAAGCAGCTAAATCCATCTCCACCATCAGGAGCTCTGGTGAAAACCGGCTGATGCTTAGACTCTGCGCCTCAGGTGTGCCTGTGTCAGATGCCATGCTGTGTCACCTTCTTAAGAAGCAACAGGAAATGGGGGAAAATCTCTGTAAAGTGAATGTAATTCCCAAATTTGAGAGACGTCACAGGAACAGGTGTCCTAGTTGGAGGAATGGTATCCATGAACTCATACCACTGCTTACCGTATGGTCCCTGAATATTAGCAGTGCAATGGTGACAGATGGATGGCGACATCAGAGATACGAAAATGGGAAGACACCAGCACTCCAAAGTTACTGAAGAGCTTGTCTTTGTTGATGTGTGTGTGTGATATTGTGTAATCTCACATTTTCTTACGTCCCATTCTGGTGACAAGTCTAAACTTTGGGATTTCCCATCATGTTCTGTCTGAGTGATCA